TTCTCGCCAAAAGATAAGCGCTTCAAAACCGGAGAGAGACAATGTCCATGGAATTGCAAACGCGGGTATGCCATCCTGAATAGACTCGATTTAAACATGTTTATTATGCTTGATATGTACCTTACCTAAATACAATGTATATCTATAAACGTATACATGTATATAGAACAACTAATATAAGTAAAAGTAAATGTCATGTAGAATGTTATTTATAAATATAGTCTAACTTATATAGACCTCGGTTAAAGACACTCAGATCTAATTCTGTAAGTTGTTACTTAAAGTACACAAACTTGGTTCTAGTCTGGTCATTCTGATGCTGTTAACAGCAAACAGTGTACATAGATGTGCGAGTCAATTTTGCTCTCTTTTGCATGGTTAAAATCAAAATTAACCAGCCCAAAGAGGTTATGTTAGTATATAACAGGCTTTCATTAATACATGGTGTTTTTCTGCAAACCTAAGTGTTTTGGGGCGATAAACAATCGCCATCAACTTAACGAATAAACATTTTCTGAAATGATTTATTTGTTTATATTTGTAGCAAATCCTGTCTTTATTTGCATAAAAATAGATGGCGAACAAAGACTTGCAAAAAGGTTGCCAACAGAGAAGAAACTTTATCCTTTTAAGGGCAGACTTCCTCTCCCTTGATCGTAGCGTTTTAACTAACCGACAGTCAAAGGTTCGAAATCCTGGAGAGTACAAGAAGAGGAAAGGTTAATAATCGTTTTCACGTGGTGGTTTTTAACATTTTAAAAAGAGAATCTACATTATTTTTATTTTGTTTTATAAGTTTTTTTCATGTAATAATTTTTATCAATAAATTTGTTAGATGTTTCTTGCCTTTTTTAATGTCTCCGTCTCTATATGTTACTATGAGACATTAAAAAGCTTTTTTGGCAAATTCGAGTGATTTTCCCACGCTGTTAGTACAGTTGATGAAAAGGGGATTTCGCAATTCTCTTTGACACTGATTATTGCTTTATAAGGCAGATGGACAATGCTGGTCAGAATAGGTCTATTCATGTGGAGTCACATGAATAGGCCGTATTCATATTGTGTGTATATAAGAGGCCTTTATAGGGTTATAAGGTTATATAAGGTTAGAGAAGGCTTTCAATTTAATGAACGTGAAAAAGCGTAAACTGAAATGTTATTTGCTTGATTCCTTTAGAGAAAAAGAATTTTAAATTGTGGCATGCATTTTCCTATGTCCAGAACGACATTAAAACCCCGCATTCAAATATTCCATCCTTTTCATAATCATATTTTGCGAAAGTTTCAAAGAAAGTTTATCAATACTTTTTTTTCACGTCTTAGAGCTTTAATAATCGAAAGCGTATTTCCTAACGACTTACTCAACTGAAAAGAGAATCGTCGCATTGAAAAAATCATTCTGGTTAGAGTCATTAAAGTTCAATAAGGGGCAAATCGAAAGTTCTATTCATACCAAATGTATACAAAAAACGTGGTGTACATTTTTCCTTAAGATATCTAGCTACGACATCTCACGGTACAATAATTTACAACTGATTACCGTTGTTCAATATACAAATAGAAGAACCGGCTGGTACCTTCGTTAGCAAAAATATGACATAAGTTTAGACTCGCGTTAGAAGAAGAAATACAAATTACAAAAGCTAATCGATCGGCAGAAATTCCTGGGTTACAGCAAACAGTGAAGAATTACTTGCAATAGTCCAGGCATGAAGTTTTTTTTCGGTCTCGCCCTAGGATAGCACTATAGATCAGAACAGCACAGATCAAACACATCGTTTTTTTTTCTTTCAAAATCCCGATAATTTTGGTGAAATAATAAAGGAGAATGGTAGACATTTAAGCCCATGTCATGAGCTCGAGACACAAAAAGTCTGTGATAGGATTTCCAAAGCTACGAGGATGCGTTCTATCTACTTAGCTAAGGAAGACTCTCGACTCATCGAGAGCAAAGCCTTTCACTAGATTTAGATTTGGTGGATTTCAGGGTACTACGTAATAGTAACAAGTGTCGTTTACTAATTTTGAACAATGTTGACAAACTTTTGGTTCTCTTTTTCTATCTTTTACAAAGAGAAGCCTGTCAGAGCCTGAAGATCTGTCTAAGTTTGATTTCCTAACTTTTGCTGAGATTAAATTTCAAAATGGAGAAGCCTGCAAGTTTGCAAGTGCGCCTCTGTCAGCACCTTTACTGAGCTGTGACAATGACGATGATCGAATGGTAAGATTTCTTGCTTTCAGTATCATGTCAGTGATAAATATAATTTAATAATCAACCACACAACCTGTAAAATATCAAAGGAAGCACGCCTTCACCAAGCAAACATAGTTCGTTTTGGAACCGGAATCAGCGGCAGTTTTTGTGACCTATGGGTTGATCTTTGCAGGCTTAAAGACGGAAACGGTTCCTATCTTATGTTTTGTTAAAATCTTATCTATTACTCCTTCCTGGGGATCCAGGGGTAGTCGGTCGGGTCGGAACAAAACGTTTTCAAGCACGAGCGGACGTGAATTAGGGCTCTTCCTCCCGTGCTTTCACGCGCAGTCAGTTGTCTCGACCCTACTCGTATACTGCCGTTGGGTCTCCGAGGATTATTTTTTCCAGAATCTTTACTTTATTTTCATTTCGTCTCATTTTAGGCTTCATGTGCTATTTCCGTCGCTATATTGAGATTCATGCGGGATATACCAGAACCAAAAGTCATCGAAGAAGCAAATCAGGTCACATTTCACGCATGATTTGGTGTCAGATTTCAGTAGCCTAGCACCATTTTAAAAACTCTTACTTCATTGGACACCTCTTTAGCAGCTCTTAGAGCTGCTAGGCGCCTCATTTATTTTAAGAAAAAGCTTTCCACAAGTTATTTGAAAGCTTCAGTACGCTAAACTCTTTGGTTAGAAGCAATTAGAATAATCTTAGTGAAATGATCTTGTGCTATAAAGAACTCAGACAAGCTATGGAAACATAACACAATAATGGCGGTCTGATTAGCTTACTGACGCAGACTGGGATGTCAATCCAAAAAACCTGAAAAACTGGAGTAGGCGCCCAAAAACCGTTTACATTACATTGCAACAATACAAAGTTGGCGACCAAACGGTTTTGGAGATCAGAGCCTGAAGTTGGACGTAAATAAGTAGGATGATATGGCAAAAACAGAGTTGAGATCCATTGGGTGTTTCCTTAATTTCATTTTCTGAGGTGCAGGTTGCATATAATCGCGATAAGATTTAAATGTGAGTAATAAAACAGCATCTAATTTATCCTTCAATAGAATTCAGGAGAAAGTGAGATGAAAATATCGAACATGAAGGCATATTCTTCCGGTTCCACTTTCAAGAGGAAGATTATCTCTGAAAAGGTAGTATAAAAATAAAAACAAAAGTATTAAAGTAAAGTAAAAACCCTAGCCTGTGTACAAACTATTGTAGGTCAATAGACCACACCTTATTCCAAAATGACTACAATGCGTTCTTTTATGTTTATGTTAGTTAGACCCGTTGCCTCGGATTGCACCTTAGAATTCAAAAGAAAGTTTATCTTCAAACAATGCGCCTTAAGCCAATTACGTTAAGACAAAAGAACAGCAAAATTTGCGGAAGCTTTAGAATAAGGTGTATCATCATCATCAAGTCTCATCGCATAAGGCCTCCACACTGTCTGACCAACACTTTCTGTCTTGTGCGACTACTTTGGCTACTTCCCAGCTCTTCCACCCACCTTTGTTTCGTTCTTTCTCGACTGTCCTTCTTTAAGTAGTTTTTGGTCTTCCGTTCATCGCTCTTGGTGATCTTCCAAGTTTCCCCAGCCATAGAGTAGGACCGGAATCCCGACATCAAGCACCCCTGTTTAATAAACCAGTCAGATGTCACATTCCCGTCCACAACTGCGCACCCAAAGCCCGCGTATATGCCCGCTATCACTCTCACCATCTTGTCTGCTATCCCATAACTTCTCACGATATAGATAGGCTTTCTCTGTGTACAGAGTCAAAAACTTTTTCAAAGTCTACAAAGTGTGCATACAGACCCGCCCTCCACTCATTTGCCTGTTCTAAGATGCTTCTAATAAGTATAAATATATGTTCAGTTGTACTTCTCTTGGGTCGAAACCCAGCCTGCTCCTTTCGACGTTTCTTGTCTACGCCTTCTTGATCCGCTCCAACAGCATCCTAAAGAATATCTTGCTAATGACAGGTAGTAATGTCACTCCTCTCCAGTTGTTGCTTTCGCGCAAATCTCCTTTCTTGAATACCTTAACAAAAAGCTCCCTTCTTCCACACTTTTGGCCACTTCTCAGTTTCCCAAAGCCTGTTGTAACAACTAGTCAGCCTACTTGCAGTGTTTTCCATGTCAGCTCTCAACAATTCCGGACACACCTTCTCTACTCTAGCCGCTTTCCCTGGCTTTGTCCTCTTCAACGCATCCTTGACCTCTTATTGTCGCCATCTTCCTAAATCCATTTCCTCAATCTCTTCCAATTCTACTATCTCATCCTCTTCCACAGGATTCGTTGGGTCATCTCTGTTAAATATTTCACTAAAGTGCTCCACCCATCTCTGCAGTCTTTCTCTTGTTTCAGTCCTAAGCACACCTTGTTTGTCCTTAACACCTATTTCTTGTTCCCGCCTTTCTCCAGTTATCGACGTAGTAATGCTGTATAGCTCCTTGCTCCTATTATTCTGAGTGGCCTTTTCCGCTGCTGCAGCCCTCTTCTCTATAACCAATTTCTCTTATCCTCCCTTGACTCCGTTTCACTTCGTTGTTCTCCGCATTATACTTCTCCCTCCATCTCTGTTTCAGTCGTTCCGATCTTGCACCCTCCAGTTTCAATTTGCCTCTTTCCTCTCCTTGATCTTTTGTCATGTTTTGCGTCCTATCCATGGCCTACTAAGTTTCTTTGACCTCCCCAAGACTTTCTTTGCTGCATCTCTGTATGTTGCCGAAATCATATCGTGTTCTTCCTCCGGATCATTTATGTCTCCTAAAGCTTCAAACCTATTCCTCACCGCAATGTTGTACCTCCTCCTCATCTCTTCACTTTACAGTTTACTTACGTCAAACCTTTGCCTTACGTTCTTCCTCCCCTCAGCTCTTGCCAACTTAAGACGTATCCTTGTTTTCACAAGGTAATTGTCACTGTATACGTCTGCTCCTCTCATTACTATGGTGTCTAATATAGATGTTCTCATCTTTCCATTCACTAGAACATGGTCCATCTGGTGGCCTCCAGGTGAGCCTATGGATGTCTTTATGAGGGAAGATTGTTCAAGATATGATTAACCCATTTGCACTACAGACGTCGTTGATATAACCTCCCTCCATTGTCATTCATAACACCAACGCCAAACTTCCCCATAACCTCCTCTCTATTGGTGTTGTTGTTGCCTACCTTAGCATTCAAATCTCCCATCACCACAATCATATATTTTTTTTGTTGCAGCTTGAAACAGTGTCCTGCAGCTGGTTGTAAAATTCATCCTTTTCCTCATCCATCGCCTCATTTGTTGGTGCATATGCTTGTACCACCAACATTTTTTTGTACTTTGAGTAGAATTGTGCTGTAATAATCCTTTTGCTAATTGGCGTCCATTCCATCGAGACTCCTTTTGCCCAGCACTCATCATTATGGCTACTCCTCCTTGTTGTACCTCATCATTTCCCACATACACCACCTTCTCTCCACTCTTGCAGTGTTACTTGATCCCGTCCCTTTCCACCTGGTCTCACTTATCCCTAGCACTTCAATCCCATACTCTTTCATCGCCTTAGCTACTTGCCTTGCCCGTGTTATCTCAGCCATGGTCCTCACGTTCCAGCAACCGATGATCGTCTGTCGCTTAGGGGCTACTATGGGGTCTATGGGCCTTTGGGCTTTCTGCAGGCTTTGACCCAAGAATAAGGTGTATCAGTTAAGTTCAACCATTTCTGTTCGTTTTTCTGGTATAAGCATATTAGACATTTCCCATTTAATAACGAAGAAACTAGAAAATCAATTAGCGTCCTGCCATTTGCTTTTTACAGCTGTTATTAAATTAACATTGTTTTAGGCCACCTTGTCGGCTTCTATGATGTCATATGATGTTCCATCACTGTCCTTAATGAATCAACCAACAACAAACTTGGAGAAAATTTGGTTCATTACCAGTTTTGGAATTCGAAGATCGAGTTTAAGGTAACTATAACCATATAGTATATTGCATTTATTGCACTTTTAAGTAGAATCGAAATGCGAAACTGTTTTTATTTACTTAAAATTCAAGTTATAAGAATTATCATGGCAATAGAAGCTCAGGGAAATAAGTCAGACTAAATAATTTTTAATATTACTGTCGTATCGATAAACCTTACAAATAAAGTTTCATATAATGCACTTGGAGAAATGATACGAAACAGGCTGGTCAAAAAAAAAAAACAGCCAAAAGTACAGTAGAACACAGTTAATTGTTAATTGCCTCGTACGTATCGTGGTTTATCCGTATACTTAAATGGCGTTCTCCCTTTTTTTGATTGACAGGGATGAAATATATTGCCAAATATGCCGCCAGCTTATTAACAACCTTTCCCAAACAAGTTATTCAAGAGGGTGGATCTTACTGGCTCTCTGTATTGGTGTTTTTCCACCATCAGACGAGGTGCGGTTAGGATCAAGAGAGGATAAAGGGGACAGAGAAGGCATCCCCCATACACACCCTATTCCATAGGTAATTCGTCTCGAGTTATTTTTAGAATCGGGATAAAGTTACCTCGCGCGCTGCGTGGATGTTTCGTGGAGGTTTTGCATGACTAAACGCTGCGCAAAACATGTCGGGCAAATGGCAATGAAAGCGTAAAGAGATCGAGATCATTCCTGAATATTGGCGCGAAATGAGTCGGCGCTCACCTGGGAAAACTAGACTCTTTGAAAACCCGTGGAATGAGTTTAACTCGAAGTAACCTCAGTGCTTTAATAAAATGAGAAATTTCGCCGGTCTATTGAAACCGGTCGTTTGTACCATACTTATTAGAGGAGACTGCTTATGAAAAGCGGCAAACATCAATGATAAAAACAACAGTGCTGCAGTCTATGTTGGAAGTACCCTGAAAGTGCACAATCCTTTGTTTTCTGTTGGCAAATTGTTACGGAATAAATTAATGAAACGTTTTTATCTGTCAATACAATCAAAATGATAGGAATTCTTTTGAACGTTGTGCACTTTCAGGTCCACAAAAACATATAACAAAGGAGCCCGACGGGTGTCATAACCATTCCACTCAATCAACTATGTTTGTACAATAAAGCAAGTAGGACGCCAAGTGTTATTTTTGTTGAATAATAAAAGACTAATAAAAGAGTAAATATCAAACCAGAAATTGCTCTCTTCGAACTGTAAATTATAAATAATCCTTAGAGAATATTCAGTGTGTTAAGGATTTTCCTGCTGTACTGTTAGCTCTATACAAGAGAGGAAGGGTGATTCTTTTTTAATTTCCATTTCGCTGACACAGCTCTAGCAGAAATCTCTCTTTAGTCGTTTTCGTGGACAAAACGAATAGCAATATCGCTCTCCGCATCTTCCGCCATTTTGTTCTGCGTCAATTCGTGAAGGGCGCGTGGCTCTGAGCGTGGGTCATCCACGCGCAACACATTCGCGCTATGTGATTGACTGTTTTCTAATCCCCCTTGGGATCTGTGGTCTAAATCGAGACGAATTACCTATGGAATAGGGTGTGTATGGGGGATGCCCTCTCTGTCTCCTTTATCCTCTCTTGGTTAGAATGTAATAATCGATCATTAGAGCACTCCTGTCACTTAAAAAAAAGTAATGCCATAAAACTGCTGATCTTGGGCAGATGAGAAATTCTGTTCTCGATTCTCTTAACTTGAAGGCCCATTGGTAAAAAAAATCACAACACCCTAAATACCGTTTTCTATGAGTTTTACTCAAGACCACTCAAGTTTCTCTGGTGTTTACGGCTTTTGTTTTATTTTTATAATAATTTATTTGACTGAGATCGTTTCATATCAAAATTATGTTGGTTTTAAGAAAAGAAAGAAAGGTAATTTCAAGGCTAAAATTATTAATTAAAGGCCTGTTCTCGCTAATAAGAATTTCTTTAATTTTTAATTTTTCGAGTAGTCTGTTGCTTCATTTATCCGCTCTTTTCCACTTGTACATTTTGTGTAACCCGCTTAAGCCTCGTGAAAACGGGCGCAACATTGTGGGCAAGAGGTAATGAGCCTTTTCCACATTTCATGTTTAGTGTAAGATCCTCAGTTATTTAATCCCTTCTCTATAATCGACTTCAATCTGCAGTTGTTAAATTACATACGAAGCTTCTTGAAGCAGGGTCCCGGTGATTTTGGGGAATATTGCTACAAAATTCTTCAACGAACTCTCCAAATCGATTGCCGAAGGCAACCGCCTTCAGCAGTGGAACTTGAGGTATGTCTCTCTATATTCAATGACAATTTTATGAAAGAAAAATAAAAGGCAATGGGACTGGATTCATAAATAACCCATAATTGTAAGTCATATCCTAAGGATTCAAAGACCTTTTGTTTGTTTATTTGTCTTTTTGTTGGGAAAAGCGCTGCGTAAAATCATGGGATGATTCCTCGAACAAAGTCAGTGTCAAATAAGGGCAGTTGGAAGACTAAATCCCTTAAAGAGGAAGCCAGTTATTTATCTATTTTTTTGAGTGGCATGAAAGAAATTTTATTTTTCGTGTTTTGAGTTTGAAAATGCTATAATGTTATTATGTTTCGCCAGCCCCATGTAAGGTAATCTAAGACAGTCCGCTCCACGCTCTGAATTCCAGATTCCAGGTGCTAGAATCCAGGATTCGTTGTCAGCGGAACTTGGATGCCGGATTCCAATCGTTAGCGGGATTCTGAATTCCGGATTCGGGTCCACAACAAATACATTTCCCAAATTCTACATTCCAAAAGCAAAAATTTCCCGGATCAGTCCGGGATCCGGATTACTTTACTTTATAGCTCCGCTAGAAATATTCTTGTGCTGTTATCATGAGATACGTATTTCTGTTTAATAGTCAGTCAATTGTTCATCCTTTTTTATTATCAGGCGGTCAAAACTCAATCCCAGCCCATCATACCAGTCACATTTATGGATGGCTCAATTAAGAAATTTGAAGTAGATCCTGCCACAACTTGTAAAGAACTTTGTAAGCTAGTTAAGAAAGAAATTGGAATGAAGAGTATTTTTGGATTTTCTATCTACATTGCAGCCTTGGAGCAAGTAAGTTTTTGCTAATTTAAAAGTCTCAACAGGGTTGGCTTAGGCGGTAAAGCGATGCACTGTAAACAAATGTAAATAGAGAAAATCCATGTTTACCAAAAGAAATCCCTCATTCACAACGACAGAGACTGATGTGATTGGAAAACACTGTAAAGCGCATAGAGTGTTTCCACAAAGAATAAGGGGCTGAGGCGACCTTTCTTTTTCCTACCATGTGAAACAATCTTCTGGCGATGTGATTCAGTATCCAAGTGACAGGGTGAGCGAGTAGAACAAAATCGAAAACTACGTCATACGGGTCATGCTGAATCAAAAAAGCTAACTACAAGACATGCCCACAAACAATGTAGCGATCGAGCAAGATCGTTCACAAGACTGATATCCCTGCTTAAGTGAACTAATTTACAATAGGGGAAACAACACCGCTATATGTTTTAATGGTGAAAAAAGATCAACTGGGTTAAAAGTCTTAAAAGGTAAAAGTTTCTCTCGTACTGCTACCGGTGTCTATTTCAGAACTGACATTGAAATAGGGTCCCAGTTCGTCTCCAGTAAGGGACATTAAATTGTACTTAAATATTACATCTGCAAATACATTGACACTACTAGAAACAAAGTAGTCTTTGTTGTTGTTGTTGTTTTTTTTTTGTTTGTTTTTTTTTTTAGGACTCTAGATTAAATTTTGAATTTATAATTTTCTCAAAAAAACAGGCATGAAAGGCTAGTTTATCGTTTGTCACACGTGTACACTATTTTTTTACCCGTCGTGGTTTTTGACTTGTCGCTACTGGTCCTCATCAGACGTAAGGTGTCAATTATCAAGGGGGAATATTAGTATGTGTTTCCCTTGGAACTGGTCAGTTCAAATGATCACCACAAACCGCATAATATCAAGCCAAGCTTTAATAATTATTCCATCTAAAGAAATGCATTAATTATCTATAATTCGCAATCAGAACAAACACAAATCGAGTCTTAATATTGTAGCTAAATTCAGAAAACTTCGATGTAAACTTACTTCTGTGGCTGGTCGTTATAACAGTCTTACTTTACAGGTTAGCAGATTCTTTAAACATTTTTCAGGTAAGCGGATTTATAAACAGACTATAAACTTCATTCTCACTTCGATTACTGAAAAAAAATGGTTTGAGAAACAATAACCTAATGCTTTTAAATCAATGTATAGAATCAATGTCAATCAACGTTCTTAAACATAATCCCTTTAAACTTTAACTAAATCAATGCTCATAGTCACGCAATCATTACGGTTTTTTGACGAAACGGTATGGATTGTTTGTTTCTGTGAAGAAAACGATAAACAAGCCTATCATTCATCTCACATACTACGATGAAAAATAAGAGACAGTTTTAAATGAAGTAGGCATTTCGCTAATTAATGTCTTCAAAATTTTCCTAAAATGGATATCTTCTTTAAGGGCTGTTGCTGTGTTGCAGGTGGCTAACTGGGGCTGTGGTTCTGAAAGTGTACTCGATGCCGCGTCTTTAGCCGAGCAGTACGCAAGGACAAAAGATAGAGATGATCCCGACGTTTGGGGCTTTTACCTGCGTAAAGATTTGTTTGAGCCTGTGATTAATCCAAACAACGATAGGGTGGCCACAAATTTGATTTACCACCAGATTATCGGTGGGATACTAACTGGAGAATATGTATGCAGCCAGGTAAACTGGATAAGACAAACAAAAAATAATTCCCTGAATATTATTATTGTTGTTGTTATCATCATCATTATTATGAAAAAAACACATGCTGGATAGGACATTACCTTTTTGAACCTCATTTTTCACTTTTCTTTTTCTTTTCTTTCTTTTTTGGTAGGAAGAAGATCTGTTTGACATAATAGCTAAACGATACTACATCGAAAATGGTCCCGAGATGGAAGAAGACGTCCTACGAAAATTGATTAAAGAATCTGTGCCACAGTTTGTCCTTGATAGTAAAAAAGGGGATGAGCTTTTTAACAACGTCATAGAATCATTTTATAAGGTGAGCTCTCAAAAAGATCCTTGCAATATCTATATAAGATATGGAGGTGCGACCAGTCGTTCTCTAATTACGTTTTAATTTATTGCTATAACACCTTGCATCTCTAGGAAAGTTAAACAAAACCCAACCTTTTTAAGTTGAATTGGATTTTTAAAACATAATTATTAGTTGTATTATTAATAATACTACTAATAAATTTGTCCATGCAAATGATCACTGTCTTTTCAGTGAGTAATCGACTTTTTAAAAACTATTTCAGGCACATGATTGAAATGTAATTATGTTTTTTCTTCTTATCCGTTTAAGGCTATTTTTGACAATGTACTCGTTTATTTACCAAACAAGCAAATAAAACTAGCAAATGAATCACTATAAATAAGTGGCATATATTTTTCGCTTGTCGAAAAAAAGGAATAACTGAAACTGAATTCACCTCTGTAGATTGTACCAAGAGCCAACTGAACAAATTTTCGACAAATAAAAACCTTGGATACTTCAAAAATTAAAGAAAGTTTTTGGCGGGTAATCGTCTGATTCATCCCACCTCATCAGCTTAGAGGCAGTTAACGGGTGTATATTTTGTTCGAAATTCCAGGCAATGGCTGAGAAGACTTATTTTTTTGTCAAAAAGATCCCTGCCCGTGTTGTTTTTGTTGCGGTCATGGCCATATGGATGACCGCCGCGTTCCTCTCTAGGAAAATTCTGTGAATAAATAAATAAATAATAATAATAATAATTTAATAATAAGATGAGGAAAAGACACTCAAGTATGGGCCCATGATGTGGGAGCTGAAGCAGAGATACATTGGTTACAGGGATGAACAGTACAACGTAATAATTGACGTGTGGGTGGTTACTCTAAACACCTAGAGAAGTCGGTGAGGAAGCTACTTGGAGCGAGAGCACGGAGCGTACTTGAGCGGATGCAGAAGTCGGTCATCTCAGACACTTTAAACATAGCCAGAACATTTAAGATAAATCCTTAGTTAGGGCGCTAAGGACTCCAGTTTTTAGGGGTTTTTTTTCTCTAGAAATCTGGAAACACAAGTTTCCTGATGTTTTCACCTAAATTTTTTAGAGTATTAGAGTTTGATATTATTCTAAATATGCTTTTAGTAGAGATAACCACATTATGATGGCCTCGTTTAGGTATATAAGAGATAATGAAAGTATAAAAACTGACTAATTTTCTAAATAGGCTTCTGTCTTTGCGTAGGTTTTACAGAGTATAAGAATTTAATAATATTCTAAATTGGCTTTTTAAGTAGAGAGATTCATATCATTATGTATATTAGGATCGTATTAGGGTTTCGTACTGACCTTTTTTTACTTCCAAGTATACTCTGCTTCTCAAGTGTTGTAGGTTACGTTATACGCCCTATACTACTCATAATGTGGACAACATTCCAAAGTTTTATACTGCGACATAATAATAATAAAATCAACCAGAGCGTAAGAGCCAGCGTCACTCTTAAGAAAAAGGTAATGAATGAAATACCGAAAATTCCTTTTTGTTTTGGTTATAACTTTCCAATATAATGCGTTCTCTAATGTACAATGAAAGTGTTCGATAGCAGCCATAATTTTCTTTAATTTTACATGAAACCCCTAGCGCTGACGTTAGAAATCAAGGCATTCATCCATTATTCATTCGAATACTGTGACTGTTGGACTGGGTTATACCTTAAGTACAGTCGACTTCGGATAACTCGAACCCCCGCTAACTCGAACCTCACGCTAACTGGAACCAAAATCGATTTCCTCTGGATTTCCATCATACAGTTACTGTAATTTTACCCTCGGTAACTCGAACCCTCGATAACTCGAACCCCCGCTAACTCGAACCAATTTTAGTTTCCCCTCAGGTCACTTTCTTTAATAATTTTACCCTCGATAAATCGAACAAAGTTTTGAGCCCTTAAAAAGTCGGGAAAAAAGCCGTCTACTGGCGTCCGAAACATTGAATTTTGGATTTCCTATTGACGTGTTGTAGGAGTATAGTTTACTAGGGGAGGTAGATGTTGATTGTCACAGGTTAACGTGAAGCAACTTTACTTCTCAAAACAGTGAAACGCATGCTCTATTTAGGCCATGTTTTGTTACGTTACGTTCTGATTTATAATCTAGAAGTATCTTTTAATTTTCACTTGACATTTCTACAATTAAATGTGATTAAAATGTCCACTGTACAGTAAAAACTGTTTTTTACCTTACTATCGGCTATTTTCTTCGAACTCCCGATAACTCGAACTTTTTTCGATTTCCCTTGAACGTTCGAGTTATCGGGAGTCGACTGTAACATTTCTCTTGTGCCCTTTTAAGTGCAGAATAGACATGTAGACAACTTAGGAACCTGTCCTTAATTACTTTTGTAGCTCAGTTTCTAAAGCTCGTGCAACACTGTGATCCCCAGTAACACGGAACATTAAACTTCTCAAATATATATTCTTCCTTTTCTATAGAGTCCACGCGTGAACGAAAGAGCTGATGAAGAATTCGTCAAACACGACATTGTGATATACGCAGCAACCAGCTGGTTTAATGAATTCTCAAGAATGTTTGATGGTTTTGTGTCATCGGGGCCAAAGCTTCCTAAAATCGCCGTTAATCTTGCTATCAATTCAAGTGGACTTCTTGTTCTACCGAAGGAGGATATTAAAGCTCCACCTGTTCTTGGCCTCGACTTTTCTCAGATAAACAAAGTTGAGAGTGTGAGGTATGTTTTATTCGAGTGATAATTCTGAATATTTTTTAGTCTTCCTATATATTTCACTTAACGCAACAAAGCAAACTAAGAGTGCAACATTTATGGTGTAAACGTTCTCATGAATCCGATGGTTAAAGCTTTTTAAGGTCCGGTAGGGTAATTACAGCCCCTTTTCTGCTTGATGGCTGGTGCAACAGTTACATATCGTTCTATGCTTCTACTGATTTCTCTTAGCAGTTAATAGACACTCTAATACTGTCGTGCAATAATCACTCAGAGAAATTTAGGAACTGACCCCGCCAGGCTAGATCAGTAGGATAAGTTGTTCTACTTACTGCTTTTGCAAGTAAAATTTTAATGCAGCTTTTGTTGTTTTCAAGAGCTTTACCTCAAAGTAAATTCATCTACCCTTTTGTAGGAAAGGAATGTATCTGGATCCTGTTTTGGCTGTGACGACAAACCGTTCCGTGTATTCTTTCAGAAGTCAACAAGCGGACACCATAACTGATCTTCTTAACCATTTGAGGACTCTCGATAGCAATGCTTGGCAACTATCACTGCGAGGTATTCAGAAACAAAGTTTTGTAGGACTCATAATGTTTAATGTCACGTATTTGACAAGTTCTGACTCCTTTTTACATGAGATTCTCCTGCTAACATATAAAGATGAAAAAATCAGAATGAAAAAGTTATAGTAGCATAGAAAAAAGATCCTTTAATTCCTATATTTTCTTGAAGCGCCCCTTTTGATTTGTAAACACCCTAGCTCAGGATTTTTAGTCCCCGAAAAAGTTATTTTATTGTAAAAAAATAATCAGTATCAGCAGCTCATGAAAATGTCGCCAGCAGGCGCGCAAACAAACTTTAAACTCAGCCCAAGTTGTGATTTGAAATTAAGCAAACCGGCTCAGTTCAGCAACGCGGATACAAGCACTAAACCAAGTTGATACATGCATTTTGAAAGTGGGTCTGATCATGCAGATCGAGGAAAAGTCGATTCATAGTACGAGACCGGCTAATACCAAGAACGATGAGAGTGGAATTCAGTTTGAAGGCTTTTATTTCAAGATAAAAAATATAGTTAACCGTAACCATTCATATAGCAAAAATACCCTGCTGTACTACTATATATTTTTAGTCAGCTTTAGTTTTTATAGCTTAAGAATGATACGCATTTGATCATGTTTTGGTTAATTTGCGCAATACAAAGTAATAAATTATCGTATCATTAATCTAATCATTATTATAAAGTTACATCGGACGTTTTCACTGTCTACTACTACTGCTGTACAGTGCCATTCAGGCTGTGACCGTCGCACAATGATGCAACAAATAAGATTTGCAAAGATGCATGTGAAACTGTCAGCGATTTCCTCAACCCAGAGAACAGAAAAGCTTTCACGATGGATTGATAGATTAAAGTGACTAAAGTGCCTTCTTTTTAGCTAGCTCGTTCGTGGTTTCAAATTGTTGTATAGGTTTTAAGTGATACCTGTAGTCTACCTGTTTCTAAAAGTCGAAAACAGTGAAAATGACTTTAACATGAAAACGAGGCTTAAAGTTGCAACCAACTAGATTTTAAAAAACAAAACTACAAAGAAACTCCTATATCTCCTTAGTCTTTTCAAAAGACAATTGTAACAAGAGCACTGCCGTTTTCGTGGGAAACGACACGATAAATACCGTCCTCTTATGAGACGTGTCTAATCATCTTTATTCTACCCGAAATAGAATCTTCAAAGTCTTTTTATGAATTCTGCAGGGCGTGTCAAATGTTCCTTTTTCAGACAAAAGAAACTTTTGTCCTTCAACTTTGTCCAGTTTCTATCCAAAAAACTCACGGCTTAGCCGATAAATTTTTTGTTCATTCAGCCTCGTTTTCATGTCAAATGGAAAAAAGGATGATAGTGGTATTAGATTAAGGGAAGATAATACCCCATCTTTCAAGCCATTTGTATTTCACTATATTTCTGGACTGTTGGTATCTTTTTGGCAGAAACTTTTTTAAATTGTTAAAAGTATCACTTCTAAGTATTACATAAACATTCTTTAATAAAAGAAGAAAAGCGTTGCATCTTTGCAGTTGATTTTAGGTGTGTACATAGCATCAAATGATGTAATTAGTTCAAGCTTTGCACAATGCAAGCCGATGAAACTATCAGTTTGGATCCGTCAAAGATAATGATCCGTCGACCGGATACTATCACCAGTCGGCCATGGATGGACAAGTTCTGATGCCCAAAGGGCCGGTGCCAACATGCGTCGCAGATGCGAGAAAACTGACGTGTGAAAACGTAGGTTTAACGTGCACTGAGGTCTGCCCCTGCATGAGGGATGAAAAGTACGCAATCCCCAATAAGATTATAAATGGCTGTGCTGTCAAGTGGGGAGGAATCAAACTGTGAATTTTCTCGCGCCTTCGATCGGCGCAGGCTTATCGCAGTTGCTTAGTCCTTTATCGTATACATGAATTCTTCTCAGTCAAGAATGCACCCTTGGAACATCCTGGGGCGAAGTGGCAGTTTAGAGTCAATGATATATCTGGATCCGTCCTAGACTAACAAAAGAACAAGCCCAAGTGAAAAGAAGACAAATATAGGAAAAGCCAACGAAAAGTCAGATGAAGAGCTATACAAAAAGGAAAGGGATTTCAACTCTCGTCTAAATTCCCTACAGACACCATACCCGTGCGTGACAACAATAACGACACACGATATGCTATTGCGTCCTCACTGGAGGCCGCGCGTTTATTGAGTAAGCTAATTCCACAACTACAAAGGTGNTTCATTTAGCCTCGTTTTCATCTCAAATGGAAAAAAGGATGATAGTGGTATTAGATTAAGGGAAGATAATACCCCATCTTTCAAGCCATTTGTATTTCACTATATTTCTGGACTGTTGGTATCTTTTTGGCAGAAACTTTTTTAAATTGTTAAGTATCACTTCTAAGTATTACATAAACATTCTTTAAAAGAAGAAAAGCATTGCATCTTTGCAGTTGATTTTACGTGTGTACATAGCATTAAATGATGTAATTAGTTCAAGCTTTGCACAATGCAAGCCGATGAAACTATCAGTTTGGATCCGTCAAAGAAAATGATCCGTCGACCGGATACTGTCACCAGTCGGCCATGGATGGACAAGTTCTGATGCCCAAAGGGCCGGTGCCAACATGCCTCGCAGATGCGAGAAAACTGACGTGTGAAAACGTAGGTTTAACGTGCACTAAGGTCTGCCCCTGCATGGGGGATGAAAAGTACGCAATCCCCAATAAGATTATAAACGGCTGTGCTGTCAAGTGGGGAGGAATCAAACTGTGAATTTTCTCGCACCTTCGATGGGCGCAGGCTTCTCGCAGTTGCTTAGTCCTTTACCGTATACATGAATTTTTCTCAGTCAAGAATGCACCCTTGGAACATCCTAGGGCGAAGTGGCAGTTTAGAGTCAATGATATATCTGGATCCGTCCTAGACTAACAAAAGAACAAGCCCAAGTGAAAAGAAGAGAAATATAGGAAAAGCCAACGAAAAGTCAGATGAAGAGCTATACAAAAAGGAAAGGGATTTCAACTCTCGTCTAAATTCCCTACAGACACCATACCCGTGCGTGACAACAATAACGACACACGATATGCTATTGCGTCCTCACTGGAGGCCGCGCGTTTATTGAGTAAGCTAATTCCACAACTACAAAGGTGCAAACCAAGAAAGGCCTATGAAACAAATAAAGGAAAACTAATCCTGGGAGAGAACCAACGAGCATCCACAGGATGAAAAAACCTCACCACGCTCAGCTCGCTGCGGAAAAAGCAGAGGAAAAACCCCGGCCCTGTGGATAGAACTCTCCCGACCTGCCGGGCACGGTTTAAGAAACAAGAATAAATAAATAAATAACAATAAAGTATAAATCAGATTCCTAAAGACTTCGTGACTGACAAGCGAGAATTAAAAATTGCCTTAACGTAGCCATCCTTGGCGTTCTCGCTCGCCCAACGGCCATGTCGCTTGAAAAGTCTATCAGCGATACCGGCATTAGCCACAGACTGGTGGCTCCTTCAACCCCTAAGGCTATGAACACTAATTTCCGAAACTTCCTTTATATCTCTAAAGGCGTCCTTAATGAGTTCTTTCGCTCTTGTATAGCTAATCCCTTGACTTCGTACTTTTTCTTTTGACCGAGGAGTAGCAAGGGCTCTGAACAGCGTTAAATCCTCGGAGAGATTGATTTGAGCCGCCGAGATGTAGTCCTCCAAGGCCTTGACTAGACAAGTTGGCAAGTCTTTCCTCGCGATAACGATCCACGCCCCGTCTCGGAACTGGTCACACTTCGAAGATTCTAGGAAAATGGACACATAAGATGGAAAAACTTAACATCACAGGCTTTTATAAGACGTAACTCGCTAAAGCGAAAAAATCCCGCGTAACCAATAAGGTATAAGGCAACAGATCTAAGATCACAAATAGAAGGAGACTTATCTGTTATCTTCAGGTTATCTTTGATTCCACGAGCGCTTTCAATATCTCAGGAGTTATAAGGTCCATTTTGACCTTTGGCCTGCCCAAAATCCTTTGAGACGCGCTGACCATTGAAGCAACCAGGGGATGACTGGAGATTTTTGATAAGCCAGCCAACTGTAGCGCCCAGTCAATACTGTAGACCGCGTTAAGAACTGGAGAAGGAGAATAAGCTTCATTAAGCAGACACTGCAAGTAGACTGCGATCTGGAACGGATTAGGTGGAAAATGGCAGACTTGATTGGAGGAAGTCCAACATTTGCATCTTTTAAAGCGAACAGTACCATCTGCTTTGGAAGCAAGAACAGTGCTTTTCACCAAAGAAGCCGTGGGCTGAAGAACCTCTGAAATTGAGGCGAAAAATTCCGACCACATTTCAGACTTGAACACATCTGTAAAAAGACAAAACTAACAAAGATCAAAGGGAAAAACAAAAGAACATCCGCTTAACAAGAAACTGAAATAAAATAATAAATAAATATATTAATCAGGATCAACCAAAAAAGAATCAAATATACAAAACCAAGAATAAAGACCTAATAAACAAAATTAAAGACAACAACACCGAAAATAAAAAGTAAAACGAAGCATAAAAGAACCGCAAAAACCACAATCTAGCGCACAAATGGTCATAAACCTTGTAAAGAAAACAAATAAACTCTAAATCACAAAGCTGAAGAATGCCAAAACAACACATACGAACTGATCGACACTCAAAAGCATAACCCGGACACAAAAGGTCCCTATAATCATAAAACACATTGTTATACAGAAACCGAGCAAATCTGTAAATCCTGGGCACAGGTGGTCCCATACCATACCTAGCCTTCCCCTTCCTTGGGCGAAAAAATAGCGAGGAAAGGGAAAGGAAAAGGAAAGTCGCTTTTCCCTCTCCCCACCCCGCTCGACCAAAGGCCTGTTGACAGGCTACATATACCGGGCACAGATGGTCCCGAGCTTCAGAAGACCTCTCAAATAACAAATCAACTGTACACGCATGTAACAAAAGTATAAATTCATGAACGTCAAATCAGGTTTAAATATTGGAAGCAAAAAAGTCTTCTGTATTCACATTAGTTTCCCTGCGCAAGAGACGCGAGTCAGTTCCTCCTGGAACGGAAACATGAACCCCTAAGAAAATATAAAAGAAACAAATTAGCAAAACAAAAAATGAAAATAAAAAAGTAAGCGTGAGTGCGTCCAGAGAGAACACTTGTATTCAACACTCCTTAAATACTCTTACCAAATCCCTAGGTAATTCATAACAACGAGAGCATATTTTTCCGCTAATTTTTCAAAAACGAGGAAAAATCTTACTCTCGTCTTAATTCCCCACAGACACCATACCCGTGCGTGACCACAATAACGACACACCATATAGTCCGGTGGCTGAAGGCTCGGATCTATACAGAGCGGACAAAAGCACTAAACTTTGCATGGTTGTAGCTTAAGGCATGTTAGTCAATTTTAGGATCGGTGCCCACAGCTACCTCTTCAGGATTTGCAGCAACTTCTCGGGGAAGTTCTTTAACAACCTTCCATGATGGGTGCCCTGTGCCGAAAATTGCGATCCCTTGTTTTTTGTCATTTTTGATGAAAAATACATAAAAGGCATGTAGATGGAAAAAAAGACTGTATTACTATTATTATCATTGAAACCAATGACTATAACAAGTCAACTTTATGATATAGTAACAATGATATACTATGGTGGATGTCCTGTGCTAAAATATCAATTCCTTGTTTTTGCCATTATTGTGATGAAAATCACATGAAAGACATGTAAATGAAAAAAGAAATTGTATTTTTATTAAAACCAATGACAAAAACAAATCAACTAAATGATATAGCAGAAAAATCCAAGGAAGGTCTATTCAGATGCGTACTCAGTCCTAATTGGCCTTTCAAGATGGCGGCTTGAAGAGGTATTTACATGGACTGTAAGTATCTGCTAGAATTGTCATTTTTCATTCGAAATTGTGTAAAATTTTAATAAAGAGTTTTGGGATATCTTAATTTCAAAAAAGTTAGCTTTAGAACTATGCGGACCATGTGGAAACAGTTTCTGGTAAACTGGTTGACTTCCTGAAGATTCAGCGCGCCAAAGCGAAGCGGGGTCAATAAATGAAAAAATGGCTGCCTAAGTGGTGGGACGATGTGGAGGGTGTGTACTTGATAAATTGCCCTTCTTCAACGAAAAACCTACCATAGAAACTGCTTAAAACTTCTACACAAACGGATCCTTTACAAGAAACGATAAAAATACAGTTAAAGCGACCGCGTGGACCATCGTTTTTGTTGGAACGGCTGGAAAGAGGACAAGTAGTATTGCGGCCCGGATAAGCGTTGAACACACAATGCGCGGGTCCTACAAAGACGACTGTACAAGCGACCGTGTCTGGAGTATTTTCTGTTGAAAGAGGAAGGAAAAAAATTCATAAAGGTTTCGAGTATTTTTCTCAGGGACATGACCAGGAATCATGTGGAAAACACCTTTTCCTGCTTTGACTGATATTTTTTAACGTGCTTCACATTGGACAATTAACAATTAAGCACTGTAATATTCTTGAACACCAAGTGAATAGAAGCGGAATATTCGCGGCGAGGTTAATATTCCTAAAGCTATATTGACCAAGATTAAAAACAGTAAGGAGACCATTTAAGTTCAATTTGATTGAAGGTTTTAACGGATCAATTCATGTGTGAAAATCGGTATGTGCAAAAGTTTGATCTTTACAGAATTTTCAAACATTGCAAATCAAATCGCAGTTAAAAAAATCCTTTCGCAAACAATGGCCTAATGGGTTATATGGAATCGCCAGAACTTTAAATTCTGCTTCCCAGCCTGTGAAGAAAACAAGAACTTTGTTTTCATCTGTCGACTCGCCAAGTCAGGGAAAAAGGTTTTGTCAGCATTCCATAGAACGAAAAATACTGCGTAGTAAAGTTAATCGGAAAACGCTCTTTTGAATGCTTTGAAGTCTTTTCTTACCTTCAAAAAAATGGACCCTAGAATTCTGCCGAATTGTGAAAGGTTCCTACTCTAAAAAAGATTGGCAAAACATCGAGTTAACGCATTATTTACTCGCGAGGCTAAAACGCCACGAAGATCACTGAGTGCGTGTCCTGAAAACGATTTTTGCTTGTAAAAGCTATATTTGTGTAAGGTTATTTGTGTTTTTTCATGTTGCAAACGGTGTTGAAATAAATATGAAAACAAAGCTCTACTTTTCTTCTTAGGCTTGGAAGTACAATTTATGATTTGATCCGTCAATCAAATTGAGCTTTTTGGTTTCTTTACTTAGGAATATTAACCTCACCGCGAATATTCCGCTTCTGTTAACCTCGTGTTCAATAAAGAATAATTGCTAATTGTCCAATGTGAAGTGCGGAACAAAATATCGGTCAAGCTGAAAAAGGTGTGTTCCACAAAATTCCCGCCTTCCTGGTCATGTCCTAGACAAAAATACTGGAAACCTTTAAACGTTCTTTTCCTTTCTCTTTCAATAGAAAATACGTCCACACGGTCGCTTGTACGGTCGTCTTTGTAGGGGCCGCGCATTTTGTGTGCAACGCTTATCCGGCCCGCAACGCTACTTGTCCTCTTTCCAGCTGTTCAAACAAAAACGATGGTCACGCGGTCGCTTTAACCGTTTTCTACCGTTGCTTGTAAAGGACCCTTTTTTGTGTAAAAGTTTTAAGCAGTTTCTATGGTAGGTTCTTTTTTGAAAAAAGGCCAATTTTTCAACTCCACATCGTCCCTCCACTTGTGCCGCCATTTTTTTTTTTTTTT